TAAACTTATGCCATGTTTATTGATTAAAAGTCTACTTTCAGATGCTGATCCAGGTGCTTTACCTGTTGAATAATTTGAATGGCTGAAACTGCTTAGTTTATACGTTTGATGGTCTTGGAAGCTATAAAGTTATTGAAACACTCTTGAATCAGTTCCTGGAACCAACAAGTAGGCAGTGCTTAGCAATGAATGTAAAGTTTCTTGATCCCAAAAACATAGGCCTGGCACTGACGAGTTAACCACTTGACCATGCTTTAACCTTGATAATCATTTCTGTCTACTGTACCTGTAGGCTAAGCTCCGTTGTTTCTAAATTCTTTTTAAATCAATTATTGATCGACAGACAGTAAGATGTTCATTCAATTTCGCCTGTGGATAATTCTTGTGTTGTCAAATATGACAAAAGTTGATTTTACACTATTGACAATTGCAAGGCAATCTTCTAGATGAGATGGTCCAATAAGTTGTATTGAGCCCGATATATTTTCCTAAGTATACAGTAATAATACAGTATATATCAATTTAAGACTAAGGAAATTAACCTTAGATATACTGCTGCTTAAGACTCTGTGATCTATTCCAGGATGTAGGCAATAGTTATCGAGGAAAGATGTTGCTATCGTCATATCGAGCTGTGTAGGTCTTGTTAAATAGACATCTATGAAATATCAGATTATAAAATCGGTCGGTCTTGCAGTCGAAATATTTGAGACTAATATAAAAATTTTCATTGAAATAAATGATCGATTCACATTTTATACCAATTAGACTGAAATGCACAATATTACAGATGCTGTAAGAACAAAAATAATTTTGTAATATCTATAAATGAAAATGTAAGTGATTGTCAGATCGTTGCTGTTAGTGTTACTGACACTGTATAAAATTTTGGATAGGTCATGCGTAGAAACAAGGAAACCAATGGCCAAAATATTCCGATTAAATGGATCTATAAAGATGAGTCTAACTTACCACAATTATTAAAAAAGCTTCCTTGTCGTAAGGATTATGTTATTCCTTTGTTTTCGATTCCAAAACAGAAAGTGTGTAATTTATTGTCAATATTGGACAATGCACGTAGCTATCCGCATTGCTGTGTTTGTTTTAGTTAAACATTATTTTACAATTAGTTTGTAAGAAAGTTAATCGAGTATTTTATGTAGTTTTTCAGTCTTCATAAATGAAAAAGTAAAATTCATAAAATTAATACAGAGACAAATTCAACAAACTAGCTACAGTTATGTTCAAACTACACTTCCCACCCTTTGCACATGGTGTGCACTAGATCTGAACTAGAGGTGCATATGAGGTGCTTATTTAGATAGTACACTGGACCAGATGACCAGATCTGGCACATTATCTTATGACCCAGACAAGATAGAATGAACCTTTATTGATGAAATGGCATAGCATTTTGACCAATGTAAAGTCATGTATTAATTAGCTGTAATATTTTTTTAAAACTTTTGTTTATACTTATAACAGTAAAATAGTCTTAGATAATCGGCTTTTACGGATTATATATGGGAGACATTATGACATTCTTAAATATGTCTTATATATTATTCCACGGATTTATATTACATATTATATTGTAATATAAATCCGTGATTATTCTCATATTTTTTTAGAATAACTTCCTCCTTACTTTCTGTTTTATAGAAACATTTCCTTGTGATTATAATTATATAATTGAAAGTTTGTAAGATTTAAAGTTTGTAGGCTTGTCACTGAATAAAGTGTATATATATTGTTTTATTTAAAGCAGACGGCTTTCTTTTGATTTTTTCAACGGTATATCTATATTTCACCTTTCTTTGGTAAATTTGGTGGAAAAAATGGCAAAAAATGTAGTCAGTTTTCAATGGTGATCAACATCAGTAACTTCATTACACTTTTTATTTTGATATGCATTTTTATTTTACAATCAATATTTTCTTTTTCAATATATCAACGACAAAGAATGAATATATTACTGCTTCTGTTCTTAGTAATATAGAATGTTAATGAAGGAAAATATTTTGCATTTTAACTTGTCAAAATATATTAAGAAGTCTAGTACATGTACTGTACAATATATGGTCACACAAGCCCATGCATATGCAAGCATGATAAAATTTGCTTTGAAGTTGTTGAAATAACAAGCTTAAGGTGACAACGGAGTCAATTATCACTGAAAATACCTAAAATGAGATTTTTTGCTTAGAAGATTTATCAACCTTTTCTGAACACATTCGTGGTTTAATTTTGGAAGCAGTTAGTCCAAAAAATGTGTTTTTAAACGTTTTAAAATGGTACCTGTACCATTTTTATCTGCTATTCGCGTAGGGATACGGACAAAAGCCCCCCCGGACGAAAGCCCCCCCCCCCCCATCTAAAAATGACAAGGTGGACAAAAGCCCCCCCCCCCCCATGAAATTTTCACATAGGACAAAAGCCCCCCCATAAAAAAAGTAAAGGTAGGACAAAAGCCCCCCCCCCCCCATTGTCAATCAAATATTTACATATGGTGTATTAAAGTTGTGTTTTTTATGTGTTTAAAAGGTATGTATGGACATCACATGTAGGTGACATAGTGCTTAGGATATTAATTTGATCCCTTTACAAAAGTGATTAAACATTACTACTCTTCTGACCCTTGTTGTGTATTTGAAAAGCTATGAATTCGGTATCGCATGCATGCATTATTTAATTTTTTATCATAAACTTTGTTATCACTTCAATATATACATTATAAATAAACATTAAAACAAATTATTTTCATTTTTATTTAAAAGTTTGTGTGAAATTTGATGAATTTGAGCACCTGCTCGTGTGAAAAAAGATGGGGGGGGGGCTTTTGTCCTACCTGTATTTTTGATGGGGGGCTTTTGTCCTATGTGAAAATTTCATGGGGGGCTTTTGTCCACCTTGTCATTTTTGGACGGGGGGGGGGGGCTTTCGTCCGGGGGGGCTTTTGTCCTACACTCATTCGCGTAACCTGTCAATTATCGATAAAGCTCCGCCCCCCTGTTGAAGCATCAATGAGGGAAATCGGTAGTTCCATATATCAGTGAATTACCGGTCAATACAGGTCCAAACTACTCGTAATACATGTATCGTACAAATACGGTACATCTTTTTTTATGAATATCTCAACATTATATCGTCTACGTTTTATTTAGCCTTTCTTATGAATAAAGACATTGTCGGCCAATGTACGTAACATAATGTATGAAACATAAATAGCGGCAAATCGCACGACCACGGGGTTGATTAAAAATGTAGTTGCTAAAATATCCATAATGTGTGAAAATCATTTGTCCCGTTAATCTGATAGATATTACATTGAGTTTATGGACTTTTGTACGGATTCAAGGGCATGCTTTACATTCAACCTCGTTTTCTAACAATGTCAAGTAAAACAACAACAAAAACAGACAACATTTTTTATGTGAACGCCTATATAACTTGTGGTAAGGTGTCCCTGACAACTTTCTAAACCATTTTAGATTGTCTAAGGATGGTTATTTGTCAATGAATCAATAAAAAAGATATTAAAATATATTATCAATGAATACTTTGAATATATTGATCGCCAGTAAATTGAACACGGTACTAATAAACCTGGGACAAAGTATGAAATTTATTGCATATCCCAGTAGGAACGGGATCTCTATGCCGTGCATAGATGATATTCATGATAATAGAAGTCAAGAAGGTCAGATCATAATGATCGAGTAATACCTTTTATTTCTATTAAAATATGTGAAGCATTAACATTTTGGTGGAAAAAATATATAATATTCCGTTAATTCTTATTTGTACATCTACCATGGGCTGAAAAAGACTGTCAGAAGCTCAGTTTTTTGTTATTTCAATTTATATTTTAACGAAATTTCATACACGAATACACAGGCAGGGTGACACTGGTATAATAAAATAATAATAATGCTGATGATAATAATAATAAACTTCAAAAGTGAAACAATTCAATACCACGCTAGCGGTTCGCAAATGCGTTCCATTTTCCCCCACCGAGTGCCTCAAATTTTTCCGATAGTCACGTGACATGTGCGACAGATACCAGACGGACGGTATATATCACGTTAAGATTTGAAGAAATTTCTGCTATAAACTGATATTAATCAGCAGCTTTTTAATTGGTCAGATGTCACTGGGTCATAAAATGATGTTACCGCAACTTGTGACCCTCTCTGGTGCGATATTTGTGTATTATGCAATTATTTAGCGTGAAACGTAGGGGTCCGAGATAGAACAGCCGATTTATGACACTTCGTTTGATGCGGATTGGACTAACTTTGAATTGGCATAACTTCTTTAATAATCAAGCAATTAACATGCGGTTTAAAGCACATGAAAGGGAATTTATTTACGGAGGGAACCGTGTCAGGGATTTTTGTTTGCATATTAATCAGCGACTTAATTATCTTTAATTACGTAATATGTATGGTGAAATAAGTCGCATAAAATGTTTGACGTTACGTAATATTTTTTTGAGAAAAGATGGAAAAAATTTGAGACACGGTTCCCTAGATATTATAAGTATGTTTATTTTCCAAAAGTTTGATGACAAAAAAATAAAAAATGACTTTGATATGACGATTTAAAATTTTAGGATTTTTATTCAAAATATATCATTTACAAAGGCATTTTTTTTCAAATATGTTATTTTTTATGATGATCAATGACATTTAATGCACAAAGGTTAAATAAATAACAATAATTACTAAAATAAGTTTGTTAAAATGACATTTATTTGAGTACCACGGAAAGTGTCTGTTGTCGCCTTAAGTTACTTTTATATTATAAGTACATGATGGACAAGAAGTTACTTATCAGTATATGTCAGTAAGAAAAATTGATTTTGGAATATGTTAGACATTGAATTTGTCCCCAGTAACACCACGGAGTTGTTTGTAAAGCAATAATGCGTCTCAAAATACTGGTCAATAAAGTGAGAATTATATTCCCACATCGTCATCCTTGTATATAATCAAGCTAACAATAATGGCTGCGCCCATGGAATGAAAATATCACGTTTTTGATATTTACCTAAATCGTTTCTCATCTTGCCAACAGATAAAATGACGAAAAGAAAAAAGAATAAAATAAAAGACGCACCAAACTTAAAAAAGTTTCGTTCTGAAATACAAACGTTGACTCGCTCTGATCGTTTCTTTCCTAGACAAGGTCCAAAACAAACACGTAAACAAAAGAGAAAAGAAGCCAGGTTAGAAAAGAAATCAAGAAAGGACGCTTATTGTAGAAGAATAGCAGTAAGTTATCATATGATATGAAACCTGTACTTTTTTCCATTTGTAAACATGTTCCTTATATGCATTTGTTTAGATGGAGCCGTTTTAGTGTTAACTGTTTAAGGTGATAATGATTCCGTATTTGTTCATGTGTTAATTCCTCCCATATAAGGCCATAACGACTCACTCCACTCAAGTGACAATTCTCCCCACTGTAGCAAAGCCTACATTTATGAACAAGGGAGGTCTGTTAAAATATAATTGATTTTTCGTAAAGGTGTCATTAATGACATTAATGTTAATGACAGACTATTCTCTCCCTTACCAGTTCCTCTCCCTGATGGTTCTCTTCCAAAACGTTTCCTCCCCTGACGGTTCTCTCCCAAATTTGAAATATGCAGACAGTTCTCCCCCAATTTTTTTTTTATAAGATCATTTTAGTTTTGACTTAATCTAATAATATTTCTTAATGAAGATTATTAAAAGAATGTGTTTGATATTAAGTTATGTTTTATATTATGTTTTATGTTGATCAGCTGAAAAGTGCCTGTAAATTAAACACCTTTTCCGGGTATTTTAATTCTATCAACACATTCATTGTGAGAGATTAAGATTATTTGACAGTGATTGATGTACACCTGTAATTATAATTCATCAACACCTCTTTCACAGTATTTTAATCTAATCAACACCTTGATTCTTGAGTAATGAATTAACAAACACCTCAATTATCTTTGACAGCAAACTTAACACACATGTGTATTGAACTCCTGTCTTCATTTTACAAAAGTATGAAATTTAGCAATTAAAATTTATATTTTTTTCTTATAAATTTTATTCTTATTTATTAGAAAAGAGAACAACACAAAACAACACAATAATTTATATTATATAATGATTATCGTAATCAAGTAAATTATTCATTAATTATTTTCAAATGACTAAACATATAAACAGTATACATTTAATAGATCTAATAAAAATAAAATGAAAAATCAGAAAAATTTACTTATCTGCTATTTTTTTCTCTAATTTATATCAATTGGCTTTCCCATTTATCAAACATCTAAATTTTATACTTCAACCAAAACATTTTTTGTCTCTGATTTATATCAATTAATAATAAACTTACCCATTTTCTAAATACTTCAATAATAATGTATTAAAAAATGAAAATGGGGAGGAACTGTCTGCTTATTTGCAAATATGCAGACTGTTCTCCCCCCCAAAATAGGGAGAGAACCGTCAGGGAGGAAACGTCAGGGGAGGAACTGGTAAGGGTGAGAATAGTCTTGACTACCTGGTATTTCATGCACCGCTATTTCATGCACCGCTTCCGTTTTCACCCAGATTATTAATATGAAATTAGACAAAGCCTATGAACAAGGAAGTCAGTTAAAAAACAAAGGTGTCGTACGGTATTTCATGCACCGCTTCTGTTTTCTCTCGCAATACTGGACTATTATTATTACTCTGAAAAATTGCGAGATATAAAATTTGGAGATATCATACGGTGAAATCAAAGACCGCGACCGTGAAGCAGGCCTGGGCTTTGGCTTGCATGGCTTTTGACTGCACATGTATATACAAAAAGAAATCAAGTACAAAAACAATTATAAATATGTAGATTTCTTTACCTATCAGTGAAATTTTCAGTGTCATTTCTAAGTGGGTGCAGCCATTTTTAATGTAAATCAATGATAATTGGCAAGGAATTCTTCTGGCATGAGATATTCCCACACCAGAAAAATTGCAACTTTTCAGGTAAGGAACTGTCAAGGTGTTCCAAATTGAAACAGAAAGCAGTGCATGTTTTTCAACAAAAATACAGGAAGCCAAGTAAATGAAAACTTTTGGCAATATTTATATTAAAAAAATATTGTTATTATGAATTATATATATATTTTTTTAAGATTCCTTCAAAGGAAGAAATAGAAAAGGCTAAAAATGAGGCGATACAGCAACAGAAAGAAGAAGCCAAACTAAAGAAAATGGAAGACATGAAAAAGAAGAAAAAAGCACGGAAAGAAAGACAGAAACAACAGGTTTGGGGAACTTTCGTCCTTATCTAAAAGCCCATGTTTAGTAAGGTAGTCTGTTGTAAAATGTTATTTAACAAAGCAAACATTATGATAAATAATAAATATAATGACGATGTTACAATAAAGGGTTTAAAATAATTATTATGTTCTTTTAACCAATAGCTATGTGGCTGTGCCAGTGACAATTGATCTAGATTTAATTTTAACAGTCATTTGTCTTCCACTGCTGATTACATGAGTTGTCAATCACTTGTGGGGAAATTAGTATTTTTTGGTTAGTTATGCAGGAAAGCTGGTTATGTCGATCCACTGCCAAGATATGACAAAAAATGTATTAAAATTTATATCGGCATCAAAAAAAGCAAACAGACATGTTTTTTTTTTGTCCCGTCTGACTGTTTATCTCTTGGTGTGGTACTTTGAACTTGGTTATAAATTTTCTTTTGATAAGCTCCGGTCTGCATAATTAGACACAACATACACATGTGCCTCAACATGACTGCTTTACTTTGAAATATTGAAGCGTTACTTTGAGTTCTGAATCAATTTGTCCTTTAATTTTCCCTATGTTTCATGCATGGGGATATCATGTATTAAGAACAAACTTATGAATTATAACTATTTATTATTCATAAGGACATGTATTAGCCCACACCATAAGGAATGTTTAATAATTTTGTTTATATAAAGTATAATGATAATCTACGCAGGAAAGAGAATCCCATGAAGAGCAGCGACGTGTAGAAAACATGTGGGATGACAAAGAGATCAAAGAGTTGGAGAAAAAACTTGGACTTAATAAAAGGAAGAAAAAAGATACACTACCACTCTCCTTCAAAACGGATGGACTAGACTGTATCCTTTCTTAATTCTTAGACTGGTTAAAGTTACACATTAGTGAAGTCTATAAAGCAGTGTAAAATGATAAGGTTATTATCTTAATTATGTTGACTTGTTACTTGTAATTGACAAGAGTGGATTTTTCTAGGCCAGAATCCCGGAGTTGTCCAGGAAGCACCACTGATATGTATTCTAATAAATCTATGAGAGCCAGACATGTATATACTTTTACGAAATTTTCTTTCTTTTAGTCATATATGTACATGTAATACGGGTGTCAGTGGCTGAGTGGTCAATATCATTGCCTTCAAACCACTTGTCCCTCACTGCTGTGGGTTAAAATCGGACCAGGGCATTGGTTTCTTTCATGTAAGAAAACTATCCAGATACCTTATGGAACGTCAGTAATGCTTCCCAGGTACTTGCACATGAGGTCTTAGGGGTGCCTGTGGCTGAGTGGTTAAGGTCGTTGACTTCAAACCACTTGCCCCTCACCGCTTGGGTTCGAATTCTGACAGGAACTTTGGATTCTTTCATGTGAGGAAGCTATCCAGCTAGCTTATGAAATGTAGGTGCTGTGGTTCTACTCAGGTGCCTGAAATAATGCACGGAAGGGCACCTGAGGTCTTCCTCCACCAGTAAAGCTGGAACGTCGCCATATGACCTATACTGTGTCAGTGTGACGTAAAACCCAAAACAAACAAACAAACATGAGGTCTTCCTTCATCAATAAAGCTTGGATGTTAACATATGACCTTTTCAGTGCTGGTGCGACGTGAGGCCAAGTACCATATAACATCTAGATCATTATATTTCTTTAACTTATAAAATCAGATATTTTAGATGTTGTAGATACCGAGAAACTACAGGCAATGACAAAGATGGCAGAAGAGGATGAAGGTGACAATTGTTTTACATACATTATCATAATCATTATAATTTTCAGTAACTGTTGAGTAGTTAAAGAATTGTGAGCATTGCTGAATAATAATGATGCATAACTAGTTAAAATTGCTGACTGAGTTTTTCACTCTTCATCTCAATGGGTATAAGTTATGTTATACTGACTTGGTTAAGGTCACCAACTTGCCCCTTACTGCTGAGTGTTTGAATCCCATCAGGGACCGTGCATTTTTTTCATGTGAGGAAGTTATCAAGCTAACTTATGGAATGTCGGTCGTTCTGCTAAAATGTCCGCTCATGCCTGAAATAATGCAAATAAAGAATCTGAAAGTCTTACTGCACCAGTTGGGAAGATGCCATAAGACCTTAACTGTGTTGGTGCAACTTTAAATCCAATGGTAACAAATATTTTTTTTTAACCTTTTCCCGCATGAGTATCTGGTGGAAAATGGCTGTTCTCATTGAAAAGCCTCCTGTTACAAGTTCAAATTGCTATGAAACTATGAAAAATGCTTCTATACATTGTATTAATGAAACTTGGCACAAATGTTGACTGGACCATAGCCTCTGTAACAGCATGCTTAATATTAAATTTCTTGTTACCATGGCAATTGGGGACATCTCAAAATTGCCAAAAATCACTATTTTGCATTGTTTTTTGTGCCCCCACTTTAGTGGCGGGCATTTAGATTTACCCTTGTCCATCCGTCCATCCGTCTGTCCATTCTCTTTTGTGTCGCACGTAACTCAAAAAGTATTTGACCTAGAGTCATGAAACTTTACAGGAATGTTGATCAGCATGGGTAGTTGTGCACCTGTGTATTTTCGTGTGGATTTATGAAGTATTTTTAGAGTTATTGCCCTTGACTTAGTAAAAATTTGCAATTTTCAACTTGTGTCGCATGTATCTCAAAAAGGATTTGACATAGAGTCATTAAATCTTACGGGAAGGTTGCATATTTAGTTGTGCATCTGTGGATTTATCAAGTATTTGTAGAGTTATTTTCCTTGACTTAGTAAAAACCGTTTCATTATGTTGTTATTTGTTCCTTGAGTGCTTGAATTAGAATCAACCAACTTTACAGGAATAATGATCAACATCACTGTGAAGCTATGCACCTGGGACTTTGCCTGTGGATTTTTTTTCAGTTTTGTTACAGTTATTGCCCTTGACTTACAGAAGTATAAATTTGCAATTTTCAACTTGTTCATGCATAGCTCAAAAAGTATTTGACTTGTTGGCCTGAAAGTTTACAAGAATGTTGGTCAGCATGTGTACTTATACTTTTGGGGCCTAAAAGGACATTTTTCACTATTTGAGGCCTTAAAAAAAAGGGGGGGGGGTTGAAAAGCCGTCAGAACACGTCTATATGTGGTAAAAGGTTAATCTACATTGTGTCAAGTCCAGTATACATTTTTCTTCATGTATAATTTTCCTTTCTCTTCAGAAGGCAATGAATTTGGTCTAATGGGTGATGATGATGATGATGATGCTGAAGATGTAATCAACAGTGATTATGATGAAGATGATGATGAAGATGATGATGATGATGGCAATGATGATGATGGCAATGAAGTGGAAAAGGATAAAACTGATAAGAATCTGTTGAGATCTGAAGCTAAAACCAGTGATAAAGTTGAAAGTGAAATTAAAGGGAAGGAAAAATGGGAAGAATTAGCTGATCGAATAAAAATAATTGCAGAAAAGAAAGCAAAATCAAAGAAAAATGTTAGATTTGCAGACTCTGATGAACATAAAGAGAATGATGAAGATTCTGATGCAGGAAGTGAAGAAAATGATTACATTGACGAAAATGATGATGAAATTTTAGATGATATTGAAAGTAATGATGATGAAGAAAATTATCTTGATGATGATGATGATGATGATGAAATTAATGAGGATTTAAATGATACTGATAATCTTGAGTCAGAAAATGTAGGAAATAGTGATGATGATGATGAAATTGATGATGATGATGAAAATAGTGATGAAAATGATGATGAAGATAGTGCTGATGATGACAATGAATTTGGAACCAATATAAATTCAAACCAAACTGAGAAAAGAAAATCCAAAGATGACATAGATGAATTGAAGGAGGATATATATGGTAGATTACGAGATTCTCAGGGTAACATTATCAGGGATAACAAACCTGCTGGCGGGGACGGGGCATATGTTCCACCAGCCAAGAGGTTACAGATGGCAGGAAGTGCGGACGAAAAGAAGAAATTCATGCTGGAGAGGCTGCAGAAACAGTTGAAAGGACTTGTAAATAGGTAATACATAACTGTTCAAATAAATGATTGAGACTAAAAAAAACGGATTGGAGCACCACACTAAATACCGTAATTCCGGTATATACCGTACAAGGTGCTTGAATGATAAAATACTAAAATCTTGCCTTTGTACCCAACAGAATAAACTTTAAACGGTCTAATTCATGTTTTCACGCCGATATACGTATGATAATGAATGAAAATTGTAATAATCGGCGAAAAAATGATATTTGACTATTTTATGATCATGATTTCTGCAAGGTACTGCTCCAGTCTTGTAATGAGTTAAATCCCAAATAAATAGAAAGTGTAAATTGATTATACTTTTTTAGATGTAGAGGATATTAAATAATTGTAAGTGCAATACTGAATTTTAATGAACGAGGTGAAGTAAAATATATTATGCCAGGCTCTGGCGAGCATGATATTTTATTCAAAGAGTTAAAAATTTCAGTAATGAACCTATATGAATATTATATTCTGTTTATCACATACCCAAAATACAGTACAACGCTTACATTTAGCGCGTATTTACACTATGTTTGTATAAGGCAAATGAAGTTCCGTCAAAATATACACACCACTGAGCAATACAATTTTTATTGAGTCCTAAAAGCAGCACAGGGATGTGATAAATTTTTTTTTATTATTTAATATTTTTTTATGCTCAGCAGCTGTAAGAATATTTTCCCATGCATAAGAGTTTGTTTTAATTTAAAAGAAACTTCTTTTTTTTTTTAAAAAAACAACCCAAATACACGTAATATTATTTTCATTTTATAGGAAAGTGGAAAAAATGCCCAATCAGTAGAGATAGAACATTGTACTTAGCAACACGAGCAGACGTCAACGAAACTCTGGTTGATTTGATATCAGACGCATGTATCACTCCAACGCTGACGCCTGATAGACTTTCCATGGAGTTGATGATGTTGGTGGCAATATTACATGGGAACGTTGGATCTGAAGTCGGTAAAGAAATCTTATTTTTGATTGGTCAATTGGTTGAATGTTAACTCTTTACCTGAATTTTTGTAATGGATTTGTCCTGCTTTGAAATTGGAATGGTCCATTAGAGTTTTAAGGGATTTCAGTATGAAATTAAGAAATTGGAGCTCACAAAATTAATACGGACTTGAAATTAAGAGATAATTGGTTTATCCCACTTTTTAGATTAAGAGAGAAAAGGGTAGATTTTAACTTTAAGTCTGGTACCAAGATATAATATGTTGTGTCCCAGCTTAAGTAGGAACTGTATTTTCAAATTTTTTATAGACTCTTTTTTTTTTAAATGTTTGTTATTTGTTATTTCTGTTGTAGGAGCTGTTTTCCTGCAACATTTTGCTAAAAGGTTTAACCTGTTGTTGATGGAGGCGGAGTATGGTTCTGGTAAACTGATAGATAATATAGTAGTGCTCGTGGCTCATCTTTATAACTTTAAGGTGAACTGACTATAAGATTTTACCTTTTAACGCTACCAAATCCTGGTGGCTCATCTTTATAACTTTAAGGTGAACCGACTTTATAAGATTTTACCTTTTAATGCTACCAAATCCTGGTGGCTCATCTTTATAACTTTAAGGTGAACCGATTTTATAAGATTTTACCTTTTATGCTACCAAATCCTTGTAGCTCTTCTTTATAACTTTAAGATGAACCGACTTTATAAGATTTTACCTTTTTATGCTACCAAATCTTTGTAGCTCTTCTTTATAACTTTAAGTTGAACCAACTTTATAAGATTTTACCATTTTAAGCTACCGAATTCTTAGTGCAAATCTTTATACTTTTAAGGTGAACCGACTTTATAAGATTTTACCATTTTAAGCTACCGAATTCTTAGTGCAAATCTTTATAACTTTAAGGTGAACCGACTTTATAAGATTTTACCTTTTTATGCTACCGAATTCTCGTGGCTCATCTTTATAACTTTAAGGTGAACTGCCTTTATAAAATTATACTTTTTTTATGCTACCGAATCCTTGTGGCTCATCTTTATAACTTTAAGGTGAACTGACTTTATAAGATTTTACCTTTTTCTGCTACCGAATCCTCGTGGCTCATCTTTATAACTTTAAGGTGAACCGACTTTATAAGATTTTACCTTTTTACGCTACCAATTCTTAGTGCAAATCTTTATAACATTAAGGTGAACCGATTTATAAGATTTTACCATTTTAAGCTACCGCATTCTTAGTGCAAATCTTTATAACTTTAAGGTGAACCGACTTTATAAGATTTTACCTTTTTATGCTACCGAATTCTCGTGGCTCATCTTTATAACTTTAAGGTGAACCAACTTTATAAGATTTTACCTTTTTACGATACCGAATCTTCTTGATAACTTTAAGGTGAACCCACTTTATAAGATTTTACCATTTTAAGCTACCGAATTCTTAGTGCAAATCTTTATAACTTTAAGGTGAACCGACTTTATAAGATTTTACCTTTTTACGATACCGAATCCTCGTGGCTCTTCTTGATAACTTTAAGGTGAACCCACTTTATAAGATTTTACCTTTTTATGCTACCGAATTCTTAGTGCAAATCTTTATAAGATTTTACCATTTTAAGCTACCGAATTCTTAGTGCAAATCTTTATAACTTTAAGGTGAACCAACTTTATAAGATTTTACCTTTTTATGCTACCGAATTCTCGTGGCTCATCTTTATAACTTTAAGGTGAACCAACTTTTTAAGATTTTACCTTTTTACGATACCGAATCCTCGTGGCTCTTCTTGATAACTTTAAGGTGAACCAACTTTATAAGATTTTACCTTTTTATGCTACCGAATTCTTGTGACTCATCTTTATTACTTTAAGGTGAACTCCGACCTTAAGCGTATCTTTATAAGATTTTACCTTTTTACGCTACCAATTCTTAGTGCAAATCTTTATAACGTTAAGGTTAACTGACTTTATAAGATTTTACCTTTTTACGCTACCAAATCCTTAGTGCAAATCTTTATAACTTTAAGTTGAACTCTGAGTTTTTTCCCCCAGGGTTTTGGGATAATGACCCATGTTTTGTTAAAAATTGGGAAAAAATGCATGACTTAAATTTTGCAGTGATTAAATGATTGCAAATTATCACTGTCTAGGATGGCATCTTTAAACATTTAAACACTGTAACAGTGAGGAAGCTCTTATTTTCAAAGATTTTAAAATTTGTTATTCAATATTTCAATTGGGAATTTTTTCCTGTGGATTGGGAAAATATTGTACTATTTTTTAAATTGGGAATATGACTGAATTTTTGGCTATAAAATGAGCCCAAAAAAATCTTTGGAACTTAATAAGACTTTACCTTTTTACGCTACTGTTTATACTACAAAAATTTCAGATAATTCACTTAGTCTGTTTTAGCAGAACAATTTATTTAATTATGCCAAAAACTGTTAAGTGTTGCAATGCTTTCACAAGCTTAGAATAGTTTCAATGTATTTCCGAGTGTATGGCTAAATTATCTTTTGTGTATCTTTCCATTTATCTAAGTAAGAAATGCAGTTTTTATGATTTTAGACTTTTGGACCTCAGTGGAGTTTCTTTAATTATTTTTACAAAGTCGTTTTCTACCAGTAAAAGATGAAAAGTTGCAATACCAATTAACAGTTTCTGCGAGAATCAAAATTTCAAAATTTAACCAAAAAATAATGTTATTTTACAGGTGGTTTATAGTGTACTTATATTTGACATCTTGAAGAAATTAACAGAGAGTTTTCAAGAAAGAGATATTGAGATAATTCTACTGCTGCTTAGACGTGAGTATAAATCCATTGTTTATCATCCTCGGAGTTTATTACTGTATGCAACCCATTGTTTATCTTCCACCAAGTTTAATACTGTATAAAACCCATTGTTTATCTTCCTCCAAGTTTAATACTGTATAAAACCCATTGTTTATCTTCCTCCAAGTTAATACTGTATAAACCCATTGTTTATCTTCTCCTAAGTTTAATACTGTATAAAACCATTGTTTATCTTCCTCAAATTTAATACTGTATAAAACCCATTGTTTATCTTCCTCCAAGTTTAATACTGTATAAAACCCATTGTTTATCTTCCACCAAGTTTAATACTGTATAAAACCCATTGTTTATCTTCCTCCAAGTTTAATACTGTATAAAACCCATTGTTTATCTTCCTCCAAGTTTAATACTGTATAAAACCATTGTTTATCTTCCTCCAAGTTTAATACTGTATAAAACCCATTGTTTATCTTCCTCCAAGTTTAATACTGTATAAAACCATTGTTTATCTTCCTCAAGTTTAATACTGTATAAAACCATTGTTTATCTTCCTCCAAGTTTAATACTGTATAAAACCCATTGTTTATCTTCCTCCAAATTTAATACTGTATAAAACCCATTGTTTATCTTCCTCCAAGTTTAATACTGTATAAAACCCATTGTTTATCTTCCTCCAAGTTTAATACTGTATAAAACCATTGTTTATCTTCCTCCAAGTTTAATACTGTATAAAACCCATTGTTTATCTTCCTCCAAGTTTAATACTGTATAAAACCCATTGTTTATCTTCCTCCAAATTTAATACTGTATAAAACCCATTGTTTATCTTCCTCCAAGTTTAATACTGTATAAAACCCATTGTTTATCTTCCTCCAAATTTAATACTGTATAAGACCCATTGTTTAACTTCATCCAAGCTTAAAAGTCATTGTTTATCTTCTTTCCAAGTTTAATAAAACCCATTGTTTTTTTTTTCAAGTTTTAAAGCTGTGTCCTGATATTATTTTTTCATATATATGAAGTGCAGCTTTAAGAGATAATTTGTCTATTTTGGCAGAATTATGGCCCTCTGTGTTTTTCAACTCATTAGTATTATTTGAAGAAAAAGGGGTAATGAAGTTACACGAATTTAATATTCTATTTATCACATACCCAAAATAAAAACCTTTTAAAGTGCAATAAGAGTCATTTTCTTTGACGCGTCTATAGTTTAACGCTAATATTTAGCGCGTCTTTACACTATGTTTGCATAACGCTAATGAGGTCACGTCAAAATACCTGCACGGCCGTGCAATACCATTTTTATGGAGTCGCGAAATTGGCACGGGTGTGTGATAAGTTAATTTATTTTCTCTGCAATCTTGTATATAAATTCATTTTCTCTACAATGTTATATTCAGATGTTGGGTTCTCCTTACGTAAGGACAGTCCCATTGAACTCAAAGAGTTTATCATCAGTGTACAGACTCGTGCAGGAAGTCCGGACGCGGCCAAGCTCAATGATCAGTCTCGTGTCCGGTTTATGTTGGAGGTGATAATGGCGATACGAAATAACAACATGCGGAAAATACCAAACTATGACCCGGAACATCTCGATCATCTTAGAAAGCTCTCAAAACTCTTATCATACTGTGATCAGTTAGACCGAGTTAAATTATTTACAATTGAAAGTGTCTGATGTTGCACTCTTATTGTTAGTGTAGTTGACAAGGGCCTTCAAATTCTTTCATGTGAGAAGGATATCCAGCTAGCTTATTGAACTTCAGTGGTGCTACTCAGGTGCCTGTTTGTGCCTGAAATAATGCACCTGAGATCTTTCTCCACCAGTAAAGCTGGAAAGTCACAATATGACTTCTAATATGTTGGTACGACGTATGACCGAACCAAAAATAAAGTTATGACTTCTTAATATGGATCACCACAAAGTGAAGCAAACTCACATCTTTTGTACTAGATAATTTTTTCAAAATCATTAAAGCACAGGTAAATAAAGCTTGTTAATGTACTTGGCTCCCTAGAAATCTGCTATCTATTTCTGGTACAGGTGGTCAGTTTGGGGATAACCAGTTACATATTTCACTGGAAGATCTACTGAACGCTGAGGAAAAAGGAAAATGGTGGCTGGTCGGATCAGCCTGGGATGGTAAACAGGTACAGCATCATAATCAAGGTAAAGTTCTTCATCAGTTGTACTTTTGTTCAATTCCGTATACTTGAGTCATTCAGTTTCCTTTGGATTACATTCATACTAAATGATCAAGCCCAAAGTTTGAATTTGAAAATAAGATTTAAAAAAATGTTTCATTTTTAGCTCATCTGTTTTGAAGAAAAAGTCAAGCTATAATTATATGTTGTCCTCATTGATGTGCAAAAACTTTAGTTCATTTCTCAAATAATTTTAAAACCTCATTGTAGAACTACTTTCACTAAGTATTTAGTCCGAGATTATTATGAACTATTGTTGAAGCGTTCCAATTGGTCATTTTAATGCATTTATGTACTGGACATTTTAACAAAAAGACCATTGACAATGAATTTTCAGGTTCAGACAAGATGAGTACAGTTGTAGGGAAGCTAGAGGTTAGCAGTAAACTTCAGGAGTTAGCTAGAAAACAGAGAATGAACACAGATATACGCAGAAATATCTTCTTTGTTATAATGACCAGCGAGGTAAAATATTATAATCTTTTCAATTCTGAGAAGTGGAGGATTGTTGTTTTAGCATTTCGTTAGCTCGACAATTCAACAGATAGGGAGAGCCCTGGCACTGCGTCGCACTGATTAATTTTTCATGTGCAAGCTGGTATCTCCAAAACTACTGCAGCGAATGAGTTGAAACTTCACACACTTACTTGAAAGTATAATAGGAGATCAATGTCTAAGGTCCATAACATTAATTTTGACAGAATAATGGCCCATTTTTTAACTTAGAAAATTCTATGTTGTCAAGGCTCTTGTTTGACTATCAGTCTCTGACAATAGTCGGGCACACTGTTCTACTGGTAGCTTTTGTTTTGGTTCATTTGTCTATCCCACCAGTAGATAATCTTAAACAACAACTTTGACCCCAGACATTTTCGCTTAAAATGTTACTATTATCATATTCTAATAACATGCTAAGTTGAAAGAAGTTCTACAGAACAATTTTAATAGATGTTTTCCGGAACTGGGCAAATGTGGGTTTTTCCATGCTAATACCCCGATACAAACAAACTTTTATTGTTATAGCTTCGGTCACAATAGATAAGTCAACATGTTGCGCTCAATTTCGAAAGGCTGTAACTGTAAATATTTGTTTGTACCCGCCACCTGAATTAGCTGGGAAAAATCCAAAATGTTTATATCTGGAGCAAGTCTATTATGCCTATATGAGTATGGAAAAACTTACGAAAACATCTTTAAAGTGGTATGTAATACATTTTATATGATATTGTATTTCTAGGACTATCTGGACGCTTTTGAGAAGTTGATACAGCTTGGACTGAAGTCGAGTCAGAGACAAGAGATAATTCTCGTTATCATGGACTGTTGTCTACAAGAGAAGAAATATAATCCATTCTACTCGTACCTGGCCCAGAAATTCTGCGATTATCATAGAACTTATCAGGTATTACAAATTATCATAGAACTTATCAGGTATTATAAATTAACTTTTCAATATCAGGCATGTTTTCACTTCAAATGAAGTTCATCGCTCATTATGAAAATAAAAACAAGGCCATTATTCAAAAAGTATGACCTTTATCATCGTCGGATACCCACGGCCGAACCATTAACATTTATCAGCCATGGGATTTTTAGCCGATATTCAGTCGATTAGAGGTGTGTCAAAGGCAGCTATTTCATTGGCTTCCTCACGATTTCATGAGGCGATTAAAACCAATCAAAACGCTCGTTCTGTACGACGTTCGGTATTACAGACACTATTGCGACAACCATAGACGACGTGAATAGTTCAACATCGAAACAATTAAACGATTTACAGCAAGAACGTATAGATAATTTACTTTTACAGCGTGATATTTTCCTTTCTGATTGATATCTGTTTGCAGAAGAACTGATTTGGCGATATTTTTTGCCATTGATTTTAGCAAGACACGTACAACAGTTTTTAACCGTGGGCGCTGCCATTTTGTTTCTTATTGTTTTTTTACCTCCGCTGTTGAAGAATATAGATTTGATAAACGCGATGTCATTGGTAGATATTTTACGCACCTGTTGCCGTATATCGACGCAAATCGATTCATTTTACCCACGGTTGATTGCATGTTATGTAACATGTTTATCAATCGTGGGTATCCGACGATGGACCTTTATGAGAAAACTCGGCTATTATGAGATTGGAGAATTTTGATTGGCTCTCCCGCTTGGCCATTATGAGTCTGCTTTTTTTTTCATTGAAAAAAGTCGCCATTTTAAAGTCGCCTTTGGCCTCAGGCTAATATGACAGTCTTCAGTCCAATAACAAGGCTATTATGAAAACACTTAATTATTAAGCATAAATCTGGAGGCAGGCTGCTTTAAACTAAATGGCTTTAATTTAGAATGTTGTTATTTCACAGATGGCGTTCCAGTTTTGTATATGGGACAAGTTTAAGGAGATTGGGAGTCTCTCGGAACACAACAGAAATAATTTATCCAAACTTCTCATCCATCTTATCGTAAATAAAGCACAGTCATTGTCAATATTAAAGGTAAGTAACTGTTTCTGTATATAGTGAGAAATCTTTTAAGAGTTATTGCCCTTTTTATTATGTTATACAATTTGTACATGTACCTTGTATTACTTCTTTCTGTATAAAAAACGGAAAAGGGGTTGTTCATACTTAAGGTTCATACAGTTAAAAAGTGCTTAAAAAAGTTAAAAGTGCTGAAAAATACTTGAATTTGATTACTTTCTTAAAAAGTGCTTAAAATGTGCTTAAATTAGCTGCAAATATGCTTTAGTGTGGTACATGTAGTAGAAAAGATACTTTAATTTATCTTTTGTTACAAATGATATATTTGCAACAATTTGTGCTTAAACATGGAAGAATGTGCTTAAAAAAGTGTTTGATTTTGGATGTTTGAATACCTAAAACTAGTAGGTTTTAAATGAAATTTTAAAATTGTTTGAACGTTGTCATGCGTTACCCTCTTATTAGTTTCTAAAATTTTTCTATAAGGAATATGGGAAATATGGAACCCTGGCCAAATTAGTTAACACAGCAAATTGAAATGCTGCAGGTTGTTACTATTCTAGAATGTGTTTATTTGAGTTTATTTATATTCGCCATCAGTTACCTATAAGGGGCGAGACCTCCAGAAGAGTATTAGTCATTTTAGGTTTTGGAGGATAGTGCAAGATACAGATACAGAAAGATGACCCTATTCCAGAAGCCTCTCCTGGTTCTTTAACATGTCAAATGTTTCAGCACTCATACACGGGACCTTGATTTAAAGTCTCATCTGTAATTTTAGTAAGCCAGTCCGGGAATCGAACCCACAATGTCGAGATCACATATCTCACACTCTTAACAGATTGAGATATGTGGACAGTCTTTTCTCGGATATATTTTCACTCTCTTTTTAATGCCCTCATTAAAGGTGCCTTGAGATAAACTAAAATATTTCAAGAAAATCAAACTTGAGAAAAATGTAGTAAGATTTTAAGAAAAGTAAAAAGGTTCAAGATTCCAGTAATAATTTTTGTCTTATATGGGATGAATACTTTACTTTGTAGTATCTATAACCATATATCTACAGTGTTATTAACTCAGTAAGGGCTATTCTTGCAGATTTTGACCTTTTTTTCATAATTTACATGGATTGTAAATGCCATTTTCAATGAGTAAATCAATATCTTTGTTCACTTCACAATATTTTACTTTTCAATACATTAAAAAAAATCCTGAAAACTAGCATGAATCTGGAGGAGTGAGACTAAAAATAGTGATGGACCACCACATTAAATTCTGTATTCTGATATATAGGTGCTTGAATGATTAAATGCTAAAATCGTGCCTTTTCACCTGCCGAATTGCACTTTACATCTATTCACTTTGATTTATGTACAAAAATAAATGAAAACTGTAAGAATCGGTGAAAAATCGGATATTTTTCTACTTTGTGATCATGATATCTGCAAGTCTAGAGGAACTGCTGTAACACTGTAGTGAGTTTAATTCCAATCTGTAGGCATGCTGTATTAAGAGGGCGAGGATGTGGTGGGGTAGGAGTGTGGGGTGGGGTGAGGTAGATAAGGATCGTCTGTTCATCTTGCTTTCATGCTGTCATAATATTCAGCTATCCTTGATATCTGTCACATTCTTCTTTGTTTTTTAATTACAGGTAGTTTCGTTCGGAACTTTAGAGAAAGGAATGGTGCGTTTATTGAAACAATTACTGACGGATCTCTTATTAGAACAGTCACAATCTGAAGTAGAGGCAGCATTTACACGTATAGCTCAAATTGACAAACTAAAACCCCTCAACGAGGGACTACGACTGTTTTTGAGACATTTTCTTGTGGGTAAAAAGAGCGAGACTAAAAGTGCAAAACTTATTGAAAGAGTTGATATCGTTGATCATTTATTGTCCCGAGGGAAAAGTCAGGTGTTACTTTGATGGAGGAAGATTATATGTCGAAAGAGTTGACAGTGTTGATCATTTATTGCAACGATATCGTTAGTCATTTATTGTCACGAGGGAAAAGTCAGGTGTTACTTTGATGGAGGCAGATTATATGTAATCAATAAAGCATGTTTTTAATCAATTAATTAAGGATGCAAATCCAGCATGGTAAATATGTCTACAGACTGGTAAGTGACATAGTGTCCTTGAATAGCTTAAAGGAACTCCACTGAGGTTCAAAGGCGTAAAAACTTAAAAGCTTAAAATTTGAATTTCTTATATAGATCAGCTGGGACACTTAAAACATCAAATGGGACATGATTAATCTTGAACAATTATTTCCAGTCCTGTTGTGTCAAAATACGTCAGTGAAGTCCCTTTAAGATTTAAATTAAAGCAGGATGCCCCCAGATTCATGCTAATTTTCCTGAAAATTTTGAAAATGTTTTTAAAAGTAAAATATTGTTAAGTGAACAAAGAAAGTAATCTACACATTGCAAACAGCACTTACAATCCACGTAAATGGAGGTAAAAAAATACATAAATACCTCTTACTGCATTAGTAACGCAATAGAATTTTAGTGATTGATACTGCAAAATCAGTCATTAATCGCAAATAACATGTAAATAATTAATTAAATATTGAATCTTTTTACTTTTCTAAAGATCTTCATACATTTTTCTTAAAATGGAATTTCTTGAAATATTTTTGCTCATCTGGAGTTGTCCAGCTTTAAACCAGACACATAATTATACTGTGCATGTAATATAGAGAGGAGTTCTCACCATGTGCCTGTTTGTACCTGAAATAATGCACAGGTCCACCTTCCACCAGTATTTGACATGGGAGAGTTAACATCCCACATTATTGGGTATAAATTGAGACAAATGAGAGTCAACTTTTTATGCTCCCCGAAAAATTTCGAGGAGCATCGAGGGGGAGTGCAGTGTCAAAGAACCATAACTCTATTTTGCCCGGTTTTTGAATTATCTCCCCTTATAGAAAAATCTTGTCCGGGGCATAACTCTAAAACTATAAGAGATATCAACATGAAACTTTGTAGGTGAATAGATCTCAATGGGTAGATGTGCAGTGCATAAGAACAATAACTCTTTTTGTCCTAATTTTTGAGTTATTGCCCTTTGTTTATTTTAATACTTTGAACTTGAACTTTGTCCGGAACATAACTTGAAAACCCTTGGAGATAATTTGTTAAAACTTCATACAGTGGTAGAGGGCATCGAGGGGGAGTGCAGTGTCAAAGAACCATAACTCTATTTTGCCAGGTTTTTGAATTATCTTCCCTTATAGAAAAATCTTGTCCGGGGCATAACTCTAAAACTATAAGAGATATCAACATGAATCTTTGTAGGTGAATAGATCTCAATGCGTAGATGTGCAGTGCATAAGAACAATAACTCTTTTTGTCCTAATTTTGGAGTTATTGCCCATTGTTTATTTTAATACTTTGAACTTGAACTTTGTCCGGAACATAACTTGAAAACCCTTGGAGATAATTTGTTGAAACTTCATACAGTGGTAGAGGGCATCGAGGGGGAGTGCAGTGTCAAAGAACCATAACTCTATTTGTTTTTGAATTATCTCCCCTTATAGAAAAATCTTGTCCTGGGCATAACTCTAAAACTATAAGAGATATCAACATGAAACATTGTAGGTAGATAGATCTCATTGAGTAGAGGTGCAGTGCAAAAGAACCATAACTCTGTTAAGCCTTATTTTTTAATAATCTCCCCTTTTAGAAAAATCTTGTCCAGGACATAGCTGTAAAACTATAAGAGATATATCAACATGAAACTTTGTAGGTAGATAAATCTCAATGGGTAGATGTGCAGTGCACAAGAATCATAACTCTACCTTGCCTAATTCTGGAGTTATTGCCCTTTGTTTATTTTTACTTTTTGAATTGTCCAGGACATAACTCGGAAATCATAAGAGATATCATCAAGAAACTTTGTAGGTTGATAGATCACATTGATTAGAAGTGCAGTGCAAAGAATTGTAACTCTGCCTTGCCTAATTTTGGAATTATTGCACTTTGAACTTTTTCCACGGACATAACTTTGAAACTACAAGAGGTGTACTTTCCTGTGTCCAAAAGCTATTCGGGGAGCATCACCCGGCTCAAACCGGGCTCTTGTTGTATCTGTTAATGTAAAATACTTTCTGATATTGGGTCCCACTCAAATGCAATTAATTTACAGTTAATTATAGATTTAAGGGGCATAAAATATGCCATTTATAGACATTATAATTAGCAGTTTTTACTTTAATTGTTAAAGATTTTGTTATGCATGTTTGTTTATCTGGTCTTTTACAATAGAGATAACCACTGGAGTAAAATTGTTGTTTTATTATTATGCTCCCATAGAGATAACCACTGTAGTAACATTGTTGTTTTATTTTTATAATTCCATGCTTTATTTTCCTACAGTTTCTCATAGTATCTCTTACTTTTGGTGTAGTTAAGGGTTGTTAGGGTCAAGGTCAAAGTCACCAAAGCTAAAAATAGATTTGTACAGCCTTTCTGACTTGATGTCTTTCATATTTGGATGATACCTTGGATGGACCTCTACCATTGAATGGAATTTGGGGCCCACTTGGGTCAAGGTCAATGTCACCAGTACTAAAAATAGATTTTTTTCTCTTGCTTACCTAAGGAATGTCGATGTTTCTTCTCAGGTGCCCGTTTATGCCTGAAATAATTAACAGAGGGACAGTTAGGCTTTCCTCCACTAGTAAAGCTGCAAAGTTGCCATGCATATGGCTTATACAGTATTATTTTCAGGCGACATAATACCCCCATGGTCATATATATAATCTGTTGTTTGCAATATAACCTTTGTCTAATTGCTCTAGTTATATTTCCAAACAATCGTTTATATACGGTCATATAACCTGTCAGAAACATTTATAACGAATTGATAATATAGCAAGCATCATTTTTATGCTAGAAAAAGCTTTATGATTTATTTTAATAATTGCTATTCTTATTGACGATCATAATTCATACAATGGAGAACACATAAACATTTATCCAATAATGTATTTGACGTGGAGTACATCAATCACACATTCAATTAAATGCCATTGTCTGTGACAATAAAATGGTATCCTCTGCGTTATCAACCGCACTGATCTGTCGTTTGCAAGAAATTTGACACAAAGTTTAAACAAAAGGGGTGGGGTGGGGGGTTAATAGGTAATTGAATAATGTACCAGTTAGTACCAAGTTTAACTACACCCACCCTGATGACTAGTGGCAACTTTGGCATAAGGAATATTAAACGCCTGGTAAACATCGGTGCTACCGTTTATTACTCTGTCCGTTACTTCCAAGCTTGTGCATGTTGACGAATGTAAGTGTCAACAAAAGTATTGTGTTGACTTTATATACATTTTTTTGTAAAATCTGCATCGAAAATCGAAGAATACTTTACCATGGGGACTTGATTAAAGTTTCCAGGAAACGTAAAGTTGATGAATAAAAGTGACTCATGAATAATTGCACACCCTTTGTGATGAAAATATAATATTAATGATTGAGTGGCCTAGTGGTTAAGGTGTCTGCCCCTCAACACCAACTTGTCATTAAATCTATAAACGATTGGTGGTCGTTGAGGAATACAATTTTGTACTTAAGTCTTATGATTTTATCCCAAATCCATACATACTATGTAGAGATGTAAGCCGGTTATTGCACAATGATGGTCATTGTGAGTCTCTGTACATACAGTCAAACTTTTGCCAGGACTGGCCGGTGTGTTCAAGCGATCCGAGTTCGAGCAAAGGAAGTTTAACTGTGTATTATTAGTTTCAAAGGTCGTTGATTTCAAACCACTTGTCCCTCACCGCTGTGTGTTCGAATCCCGACAAAGACTTTGAATTCTTTCATGTGAGGATGCTATCCAGTTAGTTTACGGAACGTCGGTGGTTCTTCTCAGGTACCCGTTCGTGCCTGAAATAATGCACGGAAGGGCACATGAGGTCTTCCTCCACCAATAAAGCTGGAACGTCGCCATATGACCTATACTGTGTCGGTGTGACGTAAAACCCAATAAAACCAAAACACATTATTTACAAAGAATTTTGACAGACTATAATATTATGTTCCTATAAACAGTTGTTTATATATTTAACCCGAGCCGCTAGAATCTTAATAACAAATTTATAATACAACAAACTTCTTTTTTATAGAAACAATATGATTTTTCTCATTAATTGACAGCTTCCGTGTGTATTAAACTATATCATGTATATAAACGTCCCTATTATCCAATGAAAAGCGACGTTACAAACGTGCAGTGTTATGAGGCCATTTTAAACATATCATTTCAAACCAAATGCTTTTTATAAGTCAACATACGAGATAAGACATGGATTTCCGTTCATTTTAAATAAAATAGTCATATATACTCTATAAATTTGACTTTCCCGAAAAATCTTATTCTGTTATACTTTGATAGAAATTACCTTTTATTGTCCATAATATCGCAAACAACATTGATATTTCGATTAGCCCCACCGTGTTTGATTAATAACAAGACGGTGTAAATTAAAAGATTTCCCGCCAAGCGGAGTTCCAACAGTTGACATGGTTACAGCTAGGTGCCCCGAGATAATGCTCAGAGGGGCACCTGCAAACTCCGCGCACTGGTTACGCTATGGTCAGCAATCCTGTAAGGGGAGATCACTGCGTTGGAGATTGGGGCACCTGAAGACTTTAAAGTGTTTTGCGACTTAAAACCTAATAGAAAAAGTTCAACTAATTAAGCTTGTTAAAGGGACATCGAGATACTTTTGTCCTGGCATTGTCTTTTTCCAGGAATGGTTTTAAAGTAGCAAAAGAACCCATCTTTGAAATGGGTCAAACCGTTTATAGCTGAATTAATTAGGCTTATGTATATTAAATCAAAATCATCCGTTTTATCAGTTCACTCGAGTGAATATCAACTATCATTTATTTAATCAATACATTGGTTATAAAACTACAAACTTTTAAACTATCGACTTTCGAGTATCTTGTGAAAGACTCGACATCAATTGTAATAAAAAAGCAAACCAAGGGAATGAGTCAATGAGTATTCTTTTTTGGAAACTATAAAATCTCACAAAAAATGATTGCTCTTGAAAAATAGGAATAAAAGCATTTCTCGTTCACAATGGCCCTTTAAAGAAATTAGTTTATGTACTAAAGTTGTATATAAAGGTCAATCTGAATTACTAGAAAAGTTTTGACAGGCGATCTACTTTTATTTCACAACGGTTTGACCGTAAAAAATAATTCTGTAAGAATTAAGGGTCAAAATTCAGGCTGGAAACTCTAAATACAGAGGTTCTACAAGATCATATGACTTGATAGAAAATGAAAATATTATTGTTTAGCATCCATATTCACATATTGACACTGTAGTTTATGTCATGCAGAATACTTTGTATTCCATTTAAAGATTAACGATGATTTCCCTGCGGTATTTTTTTGTACGGATTTAACTCCAATGAATCAATCAATATCCTTCAGACGATTGCATCTAGTGTATGTAATATACTG